AGAAGGAGAGGGAAGTGTACGTGACTGAGCTGGGAAAAATAGATGGAACGTACAGGGAGATGTTTGAGGCATGGAATAGAGAGGAAAGGACGGTAGCTGTACTGGGGCATATGAGGTGGGTTGAAAAGGCGGGAAGGGATATCGTTAGGATAGACAGACTAGGGAAGTCATTTTTGAGCCACCTTTGGCAAAGTAGAAAGGAACGATTGACCATCGGTGATCGGTCCTGCGGGAACAATGGTCCGTCCTCTCGAGGACGCGTGGTCAATGGTCTAACCGCCGCTAAGGCATGCAACACGTAAGAGTACGCCCCCCCCCCCCCACCCCCCGGTGCCGTCTTTGCCATCTTCCGCTTCCTTACCCGTGGGCGGAAATACGACCAAATCATGCCACTCTTCTTTTTCTTTGCGCAACCCGGTGCCATCTCTCCGAACCGTGCCATGGTTCGCATCATATTTGGAATGCGCCCTCTGCCGAAACGCTACATATCTACCACGAGTATTTTTCACCGCTGTGGAGAAAGGTTGTGAGGGTGATGTTCTCCTTTTTCCACGTCATGCCTAGGCGTGTGTTGCCCTTGCCGATGTACTGATGTTCGTCTTACCTCCCTGAATTCTCCACACACCAGTCGCCTTCCGTGTGGTAGATCGGATTCGAAGGCTGGGTCGACAACTCCAAGCAGGTACAGCTGGACAGCTCCATCGCCTCTTCCCTGATGGAGTCGCTTAGCGTGCATTCGTTCGCGCACATGACGTCGTAGATATACTTGTCCTGCACGGGTCCGTTTCTCCCGGCTCTGTCGAGGCGGAGCGTATCCATCATGACCCGGCAGGTTGACGAAACGACCTCCAACGCCTGCATTGAAAATGTTCCATACAGAACGCAGCTTTGTCCATTACTTCATAGCCTTGGCATGCTTGAACTAAGGGTTGATGATCGCTTCGCACCTCTTGGTTAAGCGTGTGGTAGATGTTCACGAAATCACACATGTAAACTTGACTGACTACATAAGTCGCGAGGGAAGGGATTGCTGTACCCTTCTCGCGATAAAAAGATCTCATGCAGGAACCGCAGGAGGGGGTCCAACCCCCCCCTCCTATGTGACCCCGGTTGGGTCGTCTAGCTGGTAGAAGTGGAGGGTAGGGGCCAGAGGGGCAGACGACAGAGTCCAATAACGGGAGACAAAACAAACAAACAAAAAACATGGATCTCGGTTTGGCAGTAGTACCACGTGTTCACAGAACATACGTTTCAATAGTGTCACGGCCGTGGAAAATGTACGCAAATGAGAAACTCAGCTCAAGCCGCTTCATTTTGGTGCAAAACTGCGCAGTGCTGATATTGCTCGGACCCCTCACATGTGACAGCAACACACCCCGTCAAAAGTATTTAATCGAGGTAGAAGGGCCGTACCACTGCGTGCGGTGCTAAGATAGCCTCTATTAGTGGAGTTGGCATCCGCGATTGATTACGTTTACGAAAATAAGGCTCAGATTTTGGCGATATGTAAATGGAAAAATCGACCAATAAACACACCAACCAACCGCAGCCGGCCGTGGATCCCACACAAAACTCTATAGGATGACCTACGCTCGACGGCGGTGGTTACGACAAATAAAAATGAGCCTCAAGCTTGACGGGTGCTACATTCACTAGTTAATACCTGGCCATTCGTGAGCTCAGCGTCCGGAAATATCCAAAAGTCGACCAGGTCCTCCAGGAGCGCACCGGAGTAAGGAGAGTCGTACCACTGGTCGTACAGCGTCACGTTACAAGTCAAGGCGTCCTGAACAGACCCAACGTTTAGCTCTGCGTCGCTGGATGGCTGAGCAAGCGCCGATGACATCGCTGAAGCGACGAAGAGTACCTGCAGGAGGAAACTCGGTGCGGCGGCGGACTCAGCAAGTAGTCCGATCCTTCTTCGTTGCCTTTTGAGCGGTCTCCTGGTCGTTGCTCGAGGCAAAGACCGTGACGGTCTCGGAAGGTATCTTTCTGCCGACTCCATATCACTCTGCTGGCGGAAGTAGCACACCGAGCAGCAGCACAATAATGGTGAAATTGCGCACAAACGTACCACGGACAAAGGGGCCCTGTGTGGCTGTGATGTGGACATGTCGACCTGGAAAAACACCAGCTGCGCGGGATGCTGCGGCAACCCAGAATCCAACCAAGCAACCACCCAATCCGCGGATGTTTCAACCATACGGATGGCTACAGCAGTATTTGTGTCCATTTTCCCAGCTTGTTCCTACAATCCGCGGTCGATATCAACACAACACGGACGCGTACGCTTATATCGGCCAGCATAACTATTGTTGCTCCACCTGTGTTGGCCTCGAGATGCTGCACGTACGAGCTGCCCGGGTTTCGATTTCCTATCCCGTCAATTGACACATGTATCTGCTGTGTGTGCCAACAGTGCAGATGCCGTTGGAAGTTTCGGAAGTCGCGCTTAACGAACAACTCCGCCCAGTGCCCAAAACAAGAGCTGGTTTCATGAGGTGATCGATATCGTCCTTTGGCGGAGGAAAGCCACTCATCATTGTACCACAATAGTGGTCGGTTCGCGTCGATGTTTTCGAGAACTTTCGACGGTTTCCCGCGCACCCTCTTCTTGGATTGGCGGGACTGTCAGGAGTGCATTCTAGGGCACAGTACATGCAGTGTGGCCAGCTGTTGATCGGGAAGTTTCCAAGAACGGGCCGACGGGTGATTGGATGCGGGGCTACATGGAGAAATTGCTCCGCGTACGATTCATGATGATATGGCTGCTGCTGCTGCTGCTGCTGCTGCTGCCGTACGTCTGCACCAGACTCGGTCAAGACAAACACACACCCAGGATCCTTTTTCGCCGATCTTCTCTTCTTCTGTCCACCTCCAACACCAGAGATCTAGCCTATTCTTAACAAAGCCTAGTGTAAAGCGCCACGATAGACATGTTTGTGCTGACAGCCGCCGCGGTTGTCTTGGCGCCTCTGCTGCTCAACCTTGGGAGCTGCTATCGCGCGGTCTTGAACGACGCACGCATCATCTCGCTGGACCCTGCCCTGCAAAGCAAGCTAGAAGTGCTCTACGCTTATCCCGGTGAGTCCCTCTGTAGACTACAGTAGTCGGCCTTTGCTGTCCCTCGCTGCTATGAAGGTGTGCAGTGATCGAAACAACAGGGTGCGACGTTGGTATCACACCAGCAGCTTGGTTGGCATCTGCACTCCTCGTTACCGTCACTGCTGTAGTGCCTCGGTGCCGAACACAACAACAGCTTCCGGTGCTGGCCCGAGTTGGCCGATTCTGCTTGTGACAGCGAATGGGGTGGTTTCTCTCGCTCGTGTTGACTTGAATACAAGACAGGAAGAGCGAAGACACTAGACGCAGAGATCTGTAGATGCGGAACGTTCATGAGTTTCGCAGACAACGCAATATGATGATATTATAGTATTGTAGTCTTCGAAATGCCAATCATGAGACGCAGGTGAATCACCTCCCGTGGAGGCTCTGTATCGACAAACAAACGCTCGCAGTAGTGTATTGCAGCTGTTCAGAGTGGTGGCAGCATAAATTCCAGTTGTTTCGTCCGTCAGGACCACGCAAGAAAATATCGTGATCGCACAAAATGTGGCGAAGAACATGTCACCAGCATTTTCCAGGAGAACATCACGCGGCCTGTGGTGTATATTGTGGAGAGCATGTGGCCCGGCATTTCTAGGAGACTACTGTATTCATGTCACAACGCGGTCGGGCGTGGGTGTGTTGGGCACAGCAGTGATATTGAGCGGTAGGCATGCCTACGTCTGCCGTCTGTTATCTGCTCGACTCTTCTGTCATCGATATGATTGCGATGACCGTATCCAGGATGCGAATCCATTCTGTCGTACCCTAGACTACATGTTGGTAGTGTCTGATTCGATCATGCACCCCCCCGCGCCTTGAAAATTCAACCCACAGGTTTCTGGGCCTTGTTCTGGTATCGGCTCAGCCACGCTCTTCTCATGAGAAACATCCCTGGCCTTTCCTCCGTTGTGCCGAGGCTGGTAATGTCTTTTGTCCGATACGCCACCTCCATCGACATCCACCCGGCTGCCCAAATCTCAAGAGAGGGAGTGTTGATAGACCACGGAGCCGCGTTGGTGATTGGCGCGACGGCCATAATCGGGGCCCGAGTTACACTGTACCACGGGGTTACTCTTGGCAACTCCGGGAAGAAGGTGTGTGCCAAATCGGGCTGGGACAATACTGTAGACTATGTGGTTTATTCCTACGCCACACACCCCAAACTCCCCCAAAATCGCGTGTGTGCATACGTGGTATGGGGGAGGATTGCGCGCAGCCCCCCAATGAGGCTGGCGGCAAGAGAATGACGGATGGATGTGGGAACAAAGAATTGGAGAAAAGGTGTTCACAGTTAACCTGATGTAACGTCTTGACGAACACGCATGAAGAAAATATTAACTGACTGTGCTTTCCCTCCCCACAAGTAAGCGTGATAAATCGTTCAACACATTTCTTGGAACCTTCACACGGACTTTACCCGGAAGGCCCATGAATACTGCACCCTTCTAGACATTCGCAAAATGAAACGAGAGACCTTCGATTCCTGCGCTGGGCCACAATGTGCTTCCGACGAATAACATCCATGCTTCAGGAGATAACCCCAATATTGACCGCCTTGTTGCTGTTGGCATGAAATGTTGAATCGACACAACAGGTTTCCCCGGGAGGCAAAAGACATCCGACCATCGGAGACCGCGTTGTCCTCGGGGCTGGCGCAAAGATTTTGGGAGACATCACCGTCGAGGATGACGTGCTCGTGGGGGCGAACTCGGTCGTCACCAAGTCTGTGCCGAAGCACCACACCGCCGTAGGTGAGCAAAATATTGTAGCAGTACATGCATGGGGTAAGTATTCCCCATATATGTCTTAGCTGGAGTCCGCGCGCTGTTGCTGTCGTTCAGAGCGTCGACGACGAGAGTGTAAGCAGACCAGGTGCAGGCTGTTTGCTATCCAGAGAGAGGGGACCTTCGTCACTCCTTCACCTATTGTGATGAGAACCGTATTCTACTTCAGCAGGTTGTGCCTTTGCTCAGCAGCGTTCCGTTGCCGACATCAACTCTCTGTACGTTTGGCCCTCGTGTGTTCAGCGTGGTGGACTGTATTCAATTTTGTGAGACCATCGACAACCACTAACGTATCGACATGTCTACTTTTACTTCTGCTAACGGTCTGGAACGTACGCAGGTGTGCCCGCGAGAATACTCTGCCATGGCACCTGTTCAGGAAAGAATGTGACGGGAGCGGCGATCTGCGAGCTGCACAAACGTCTCAACAAAGTCGAAAAGGGCAGCGACGCCGTCGTAGGCCCTCAGAGACGAGAAGACGCGGATGTCGCGGGCGGACAGCATGTAGACAAAAGTCAGCAGCAGCAGCAGCAGCAGCGGGGGCCACAAGGAGATGTAGAGGGGACGGAAGCTTCGTCGTTGGCGTGGCCGGTGTCTGACGTCACGATCATTCCTTCACCTTCGAGCGAAAACAACCACCAGCAGCAGAAGGAGACGTTTGATGCGCCTGTACCCTCGTCGTTGCCATCGACATTGGAGAGCGGCATTCGGCAAATTTTGTACAGCCGAAACATCCTCGAGGAGATTGCTGTGAATTGAGTCAAGTTCGTGTGATGTAAACGGTGGTGGAGGAGGCACGCGTTGTGTGTGGTGGTGCTGGTCCCCCCACTACGGATTCCTTGCGGTTGGCGGGGAGGGTCTTGGCTGATACCTGTACAGTAGTAATGAGAGTCGGAGTCGCAAGGACTGACGCTTCTCATACAACCCAAAGAGAAATGGGACTTTTCGGTGTGCCGATGAGGATCGATTCGCTAGCTTTAGACCTACCTGTGTACGTAAAACAGTGTGCTCATTCTACTTATTGGTGTTGTCAAAATCAGTTTTGGTGAGCTGGGCCTTGATTTACGTCGAGGATAAAGTTGAATTGACTTGTGCTTTTTTTTGTGGTGTTGATCAAATGGTTGTGACGCAATGTTCGTCGTTTGAAAAAGTGTTTGGTGTTTGAGGGGGGTTGAAAGATTTTTTCCTTTGACTGAGCATAGCTCTACTCGGTGTTTTAGAGATAAACGGTGGTGAGGGGAATTGAGTTTCGTGGCACGGCCTTCTTGCCAAGCGCCTGGCTGTAATCCTCTTTTGGATTAATGTGATGTTCATTCTAAAGTGATGTTTATTGTTTGATTATTGGACGATGATTGCTTGGTTGCGGGGGACGGCATACATGGATATTACCAGTCGTTTGTGCTACAGCTTCAGGACAACATTAGTGTGAGGGTCGCTCTATGAGGTCCTTGGTTACCAGAGGCTGGGGAGGCGTGTGTGACTCACCTTTAGATGTTGATCGACGTCTCGTGTTGTAAACAACCTGTCGGCTCTCGACCAACCCATCATGACGACGTTCGCATACATATGGCGTCAGCAGGATACTGGTTCGAATCTACTTGTTGTGTCACATTTTCCCCGTGACTTGTGACATTTGTCATGGTCACAATGTGTGTCAGTCCTGAAAGCACCTCTTTGGTCGGTCCTACAATGAATCTGTGACACCGGTACCGAATCACCCGTCGTGTCTCCGATGGGGAAGTTGTGAGGGTAAACTCTCAGGGCGAGAGAGTTAAGGAGGACCCGATTCGCAGGGTATCCATCGATTGATATTTCCCAGAATCGGTACACCTTCGCAAAGGGGTTTTCACGACCACATACATACATACATTCACGATAGCATACACGCTAATCCATCTCTATCTTTAGTACGGATTTGCGTAATATATCGCGATATTAATCCATTTTTTGCGATAGTGATACCACCGTGGGTGGCGTCCAATTGTTGAGTGAGCCGAAAAGTACAAGTCAAATCAACCCATTCACGCAGGTACGGGTTAAGTGCTTGTTGTGAATCATCTCGTAAAAGTGCTGTACAAAAGGTAGACATACGAACGAGTGGTATGTACTTTAAGTTTGTACCGTGCAGGAGGTTAGCTAGAAGATCAGGTGCTGTGGTACCGATTCGCACACATGCAAGTAAGAAAAAGGGTAGTTTTCTCGCCAAAAAGGCATCGGGTCGATAGAAAGAACAAACACTACATACTGTAGGCTGTAGACCACTTCGTACTATCTACAGTTACTAGTTGCAAGCCGCAGATGCGAAACGTGAATTTCAGGTCGAGGCTCAAAGTCTTGTTTATGGAGCAAACACCAGCAACCAAGGTAGTAAGTGCTATTTTTTCTTTGATTTAGTAGCCTATAGTTCTGGCTGTCGAATTTTGATGATTTTTCAAAACTTACCATTTTACATAAAACCACGTGAGACGGTCGCGTGCGCGCAGCGGGGGGCGCCGCAGGTTCACGCTCAATACCTTGCATCTCCAAGTCGGCAAAAAATGCAATATACAGGGAGTGCGCGTGCATTTTTCGTATTTTGCACAACAAGTTCCGCCCCCTAGTTTCTTATCTCTGGGGCGTGTCTTCTCTTGTTCGGATGTTGCCTGTCTTTGCGTCCGTTTCGAGGTGTGTTTCTTCTCAGCTTGGCTGCTTGACCCCTTTTTGTTAAATGACGTGAAAATTGAGGGATTAATTGCTTCAATATATTGTTCTGAACGGCGGGCCGCAACAAACTGTAGAGCGATCATTGGCTCTGGCGGGACAACAAAGAAAACGTCTCCGTAGGAATGAACTACATACCACACGGAATCAACTCGGACCGTCCAACTAGATTCTCACTTCAGCCGACGTTCCATCAGAAACAGACATGGCGTTTACGGTACCAGGCACCTCGTCGTCTTTGCGAGAGCTTCGAAAAGCAAAACGAGAAACGCACCCCGCCATGGCAAGCGTGAGATGCAAAACGCGTTGTTGGTACATCGTGCGCGCACGTCACCAAGCACTTACGTCCGCGCAACGACATCCCCCTGACCCGAGCCTCTGTTCGCTTCACGTGGTAGGCGGAGGGAGCTGGCTCTCTTGATGGGTCGGTCAATAGCCGACAGGTTCTCGAAAAAGGGACGGATGTTGATCATGTTGATCACTCGTCAACTACAGATCAATATCTGAGGCCAGCAGTGATGAGTCGGTCGAAAACGGACAGGTTGTTTTTCAATACAAGACGTCGATCAACATCTATCTGAAGGTCAGCCTCTCGTGACCAAGGACCTCATGTAGCGGCCCTCACACTACTGTTGTCCCAAAGCTGTCGCACACAAACGACAGGCAATATCCACATATTCCGTCCCCCCAAACCAACCAATCACCGTCCAAGCAACAAACATACAAAAACATATCACGCAACACAAGAAGAGGACTACAGCCAGGCGCTTGACAAGAAGGCCGTGCCACGAAACTCCTTCCCCCCACCATCGTTTATCTCTAACACCGAGAAGAGTTATGATCAGTCAAAGCAAAATTTCCAATCCCCTTCACGCACCGAACACTGTTTACAACGACAACAATCGTTTGATCCAAACCGGTCATTACCGCAAAATAAACAAGTCAACTCAAATTCATCCTCGGCGGTTGGCAAGGCCCAGCTCACCAAAACTGAAGTTGCCAACACCAATAAGTAAAAAAAGCACACAGCTGTACGCACACAGGTAGGTCTAAAGCTACCGAATCGATCCTCATCGGCACAACAAAAATTCCTATTGCTCTTTGAGTTGTTTCAGAAGCGTCAATCCCTACGCCTCGACTGTGTACTACTGTACCACATAGTGCAGCCAAGACCCTCCCCGCCAACCGCAAGGAATCCGTAGTCGGGGGACCAGCACCACCACGCACAACGCGTGCCTCCTCACCACCGTAATGTCACGCGAACTTGACTCAATTCACAGCAATCTCCTCGAGGATGTTTTGGCTGTACAAAATTTGCCCGATGCCGCTCTCCAATGTCGGTGGCAACGACGAGGGTACAGGCGCATCAAACGCCTCCTTCTGCTGGTGGTTGTTTACGGTTGAAGGCGAAGGAATGACCGTGACGTCAGACACCGGCGACGCCAACGACGAAGCTTCCGTCCCCTCTACATCTCCTTGTGGCCCCCGCTGCTGCTGCTGCTGCTGCTGCTGCTGCTGCTGCTGCTGCTGCTGTTGCTGTATTGCGTCCTCCTGCCGTCCGCCCGCGACATCCGCTTCTCTTCGTCTCTCAGGGCCTACGACGGCGTCACCGCCCTTTTCGACCTTGTTGAGACGCCTGTGCAGCTCGCAGATCGCCGCTCCCGTCACATCCTTTCCTGTACAGGTGCCACGGCAGAGTATTCTCGCGGGCACACCTGCGTACGCGCCGGACCGATAAAGCAGACGTAAACGTACACATGTTGAAACGTTAGTGGTTATCGATTGTCTCAGAAAATTGAATACGAACCACTACGTTGAACACACGAGGGCCAAACGTACAGAGAGTTGATATAGGCAACGGAAATTTGCCGACCAAAGGCACAACCCGACTGCTGAAGTAGGATACGGTCCTCATCACATTAGGTGAGGTAGTCACGAAGGTCCCCTCTCTCAGGATAGCAAAGCGCCCTGCACCTGGTCTGCTTTCACTCTTCTCGTCGACGCTCTACCATATCGCAACAGCAACAGCACTGGGGCGCGGAGTCAAGCCAGGATATATTTTGATAGTATTTGCCCGATGCATCTACTGCTACAATATTTTGCTCACCTACGGCGGTGTGGTGCTTCGGCACAGACTTGGTGACGACCGAGTTCGCCCCCACGAGCGCGTCATCCTCGACGGTGATGTCTCCCAAAATCTTTGCGCCAGCGCCGAGGACAACGCGGTCTCCGATGGTCGGATGTCTTTTGCCTCCCGGGGAAACCTGTTGTGTCGATTCAACAAGACGTTTCATGCCGGCAGCAACAAGGCGGTCAATATTGGGGTCATCTCCTGAAGCATGGATGTTATCGCCGGAAGCACATTGCGGCCCAGCGCAGGAAACAAGGACTCTCGTTTCATATTGCGGGCGTCGGGAAGGGTACAGTGTTAGTTGATGGGCCTTCCGGGTAAAGTCCGTGTGAAGGTTCCAAGAAATGTGTTGAACGATTTATATCACGCTTATTACTTGTGGGGAGGGGAAGCACAGCCAGTTAATCTTCATGCGTTTCGTCAAGAGGTTAGCAAATCATACACGCATCAGGTTAACTGTACATACTTCTCTAATTCTTTGTTCCCACATCCATCCGTCATGTTCTGGCCGTCAGCCCCGTTGGCGGGCTGGGGGCAATCCCTTCCCCTACAGCAGTAGTACATATACACCTATGCATACACATCGGATTGGGGGATTTTGGGGTGTGTGGCGAAGAATGAAGCACATAGTCTACAGTATTGTCCCAGCCCGATTTGGCACACACCTTCTTCCCGGAGTTGCCAAGCGTAACCCCGTGGTACAGAGTAACCCGGGCCCCGATTATGGCCGTCGCGCCAATCACCAACGCGGCTCCATGGTCTATTAACACCCCTTCTTCCGAGATTTGGGCAGCCGGGTGGATGTCGATGGAGGTGGCGTATCTAACAATAGACATTGCCNGGGGGGGGGGGGGGGGGGGGGGGGGGGGGGGGGGGGGGGGGGGGGGGGGGGGGGGGGGGGCGTGATGGAATCAGACACTAAACACGTACTGTATTCTAGGGGCACGACAGAGTGGATTAGGATGCTGAGTAGGATCATCGCTTTCATATCGTCGATAGAGCCTAGCAGACAGCAGGGAGCAGACGTAGGCATGCATACCGCGCAATATCACCGCTGTGCCCAACACACACACACGCCAGAACGCGTTGTGACATGAATACAGTAGTCTCCTAGCAAATGCTGGATGCCGAATGACATACGCTCCACGACACACACGACAAGCCGCGTGATGATATATTCTTCTTCATAGAAAATACTTCAACACATCCCCTTCGACTGTGGTATTGTCTCGAACGGGTGGTCTTCCTGTGAGATTATGTGTAGTTTCTAAAAATGCTAGTGACATGTTCTCCACATTCACGATATTCCTTGCTTGGTCCTGACGGACGAAACGACCCGGATTTTTTGCTGCCACCACTCTAAACAACTGTGTGCGTTTGTTTTTCGATACAGAGCCCCCACGGGGGGTGATTCACCTGCGTCTCATGGTCGGCATCTCGAAAACTACAATGCTCCAGACTAGTCATGATGCGTTTGTCTGCGAAACTCACGAACGTTCCGCATCTACAGATCTCTGTGTCTGGTGTCTTCGCTCTTCCTCTCTTGTATTCAAGTCAACACGAGCGAGAGAAACCACCCCATTCGCTGTAACAAGCGGAATCGGCCAACTCGGGCCAGCACCGGAAGCTGTTGTTGTGTTCGGCACCGAGGCACCACAGCAGCAGTGACGGTAACGAGTGCAGATGCCAACCAAGCTGCTGGTGTGATGCCAACGCCGCATCTTCTTGTTCCGATTACTCGTGCACACCTTCATAGCAGCGAGGGACAGCAAAGGCGACTACTGGAGTTGTAGTCTACAGAGAGACTCACCGGGATAAGCGTAGAGTACTTCTAGCTTGCTTTGCAGGGCAGGGTCCAGCGAGATGATGCGTGCGTCGTTCAAGACCGCGCGATAGCAGCTCCCAAGGTTGAGCAGCAGAGGCGCCAAGACGACCGCGGCGGCTGTCAGCACAAACATGTCTATCGTGGCGTTGCACACTGGGCTTTGTTGAGAACAGGTTAGGTCTCTGGTGTTGGAGGTGGGGAGTGAAGCAGAGGAGATCAGCGAAAGGGGATCCTGGGTGTGTGCTTGTCTTGTGCGAGTCTGGTGCAGACGTACAACAGCTGGAGCAGCACAATCATGAATCGTACGCGGAGCAATTTCCAATTTCCCCATGCCAATAGGCCGCATCAATCACCCGTCGGCCCGTCCTGTGGAATTTTCCCGATCAACCGATGTCGGTACGTTGTACAAAATGAGTGCTCTGACCGTCCCGCCAGTCCAAAATAAGGGTGTGTGAGAAATGAGAAACCGTCGAATGCTGTTGTCGAAAACAACGACGCGAACCGACCAGTATTGCCGTGGTACAGAGACGAGCGGCTGCCTTCCGTCATAACGACGACATCGATCACCCCACGGAACCAGCTCTTTTGTTGTTTTGGCATTGGGCGGAACAGTTCGCTTGGCGCGAGTTCCAAAACTTCCAACGGCATCTGTGCTGTTCGGACACACGAGCAGATAAAAGAGGTAGACGAACATGTTGCGTGCGGTCCTTCTCCCTGTGCTCATCGTCCTCTCGCAAATGAGGCAACAAGAAGCATGCAAGCTGCCCTGCGAGTGTGTGCACTAGTATTGCGTGTTGTACGTGTCAGTGTGTGTGTTTTCCTGACCGTGTGTAGATAGAGCAGCGGAATGTATATATGATGCCTAAACTGCTGTTGCACGTGCGTGAGAACAGATATAGTCAAGGCCTTCGGATCTGTAGGTTGAGTTAGAAGTACCCATGACCGGCGGTCTGCTGTCTGCAATATGTAATCCGCATTGGACCGTGCCATGCGTGCGACAGGCGGCCCCAGCGCATGACCGAGAACAATAGCGCGACAGAGAGAACCGGACGGGGGTGGGCAGAGCCCATCCCCGAAGTCCCTGAACAGATAGTGCACTGCCGGCCCTTCTCACACTGGTTTTCGGGAGATAGCTGTAAGGTTTCCGCCCCCTTCTCGCGTTGGACTAAAACCCTCGTGGAGTGGATGAGTGCGGCAAGAGCGTGAAGTTTGATGACATCGGGATAATTAGGGTGGTGTGGCACCGAGGAGATCTACGATTGTTGAAGCTAAATGGAGATCGCCAACTCCAAAACCCAGTGAAACAACGCCAAGTGTGGGCAATAACTGGGGTAACAAATACTGGGGCCAAAATCAAAATCAAACACATTGGTTTGAGAATTTACGCTACAGAGACGAAAGCTGTAGCACGTAGTCTATGTGCCAATTTGGAGAACCCTCTAGGTTGTGGGGTAATCGACTACTCGAAAGCAGGCGAGAGGGTGTAGACTACTGTCGTTCACACGTTTACGGTGCATTGGTAGCGTCATATGAAATACTCAAGGCCCTTCTTCACAAGAGTTGCGTACAAGGAAGAAGGGAAGATAATCTCCGTTGTAAGCGCGAAATTAATGCTGTGTACGAAGAATAGTCGTCATCCGTAATCAAGGCTGTGTACTAAGGGGTCTCCCCTGCGGCCCGTTTCCATATTGACCTGTACATGGTCCTTGCAATAAGCGTGAGATTCAAGTCCGATTTCTGTCGCACATCAGCGCTCCTGGCAAAAAACACCCGGCTCCACAAAACTGTACACAGGTAGTGATGTCTGCTCGAATCTTCATCAACATAACCGCGAGCGACTTCTACTACTGAGCGCGCAATATACGCACTCAACCTGGGACCCAGAGCCTGAAGCTCAATGTCATTAGAAAAAAGGAGCGGGTAAGGACCTCACCAAACGAATGGGCACTCAAGACGGAAACGAAAGAATGCATCCACTATGGGTCGAATTCTACCGCAAGGGCAAGCTCTAAAGAAATTATACCCACAACGAGCGGAAATTGGTAACAAACAACATGCTCCGCACGAACCGCATCGGTAGGAACCGGAGCCACGAAGCCTATAGCGGTCATCCCTGTCTTCCCGCGAGCTCGCCGCTCCCGACGCCGGGAAAAAAACACAACGCCCGAGACGTTGTACCTATACTCTGCCTGCATCAAACGCGCTTGGTTCGATCAAACGCACGAAAGGCGCCGCATCAAATGTACTCGATTCGATCAAACGCACGAAGGTGCCGAAGCGCAACCTCGTCCTCGGTCTCCCCCTTCCTGCGACTACTGCTTCCCCTGCCACCGCCACCGTTGCGGCTACTCCGGGAACTGCCTCTTCGAGCTCCCCCCCCTCGGTCCGACAAACCGCCACCATCCCCGTACCTCTCCGCATCCAAGTCCTCGCGGACTCGACGCGAGGTCGTCCTCTTCCCCGCTGCCGTCGCAACACCGCCGTCGCCGCGCCGGCGACGCTTGTTCTCCCGCTTTTCCTGGGCGGCTCCCGCCTTCACCTTCTCGTCGTGCACGGCCTTGAACGCGGACCGCGCCGTCTCGGAGGTGACGGCGATGCCAGACGTCTGCAGCAGGGCGGCCCGCTGCGCCTCCGCCAACACCGCCAGCCGTCTTCTCCAACCGGAACCGTTGCCGATGCCGCCGGAGCTGGTGCCGCCGTTCGCGTTGCTGGCGCCCGAGTTGTTGCCGTTGCCGCTCGAGCTGCCCAGGCTTCCTACGCTGGCGTCCACGCGTTCCCGACTGGTCCTCTTTTGGTCCGAAAAAACGGACCCCCCTCGGTAGTCCTGAGCCCCTCTTCCCCCGACCCGCCGCGCGTGGTCCCGGATGAACTGAGGCGGACATGGACGGGATCGGGATTGAGGAAGCGTTGAAATCGTCATACGCAGCGTTGTAGTTGTGAAACAGTCTGCATGGTCTCGGTTCAAGGATGGGACGGTGCACCTCTCTAGGCTACTATTACGAAGTAGCGTCCCCCCAGGCGAGGGAATGAGCGAGCACTGCGTGCACCTTTGACATCTATATTAGTGGCCTTTGCAATCCCTCTCGAGACGTGAGTGAGCAAGGCAGCATCGAGTGCAACTCGACCTGCTGCTCGCAACAGAAGAGAGCTCACTCGTCACGAAAGTGAAAATTCAGTAGTACGAACCGGGACAACACACCACATGCCGGGCAACGGGTGGTTGGCACCCCCATGGTTATCCCCAACCTTGGTATCACAAAATATCACGAGTTGAGACTATTTGGGAAGCACGATCACTATTGGCACTGCCGGCCTTCGGTGGCGACCCCGAGCTACGCGTCCATCCCGTCTACCGTGAATCTCCAACGATTGCCGTTTCAAAGAACGCGCGCGAGACAAGATAGAAATCCTAAACATACGCACAAAGCCCCAAAACATGGAGAAACGGAAACACCGATGATGAGCGCACATGCTAGGGCGGGGGTGTGTGTGCCTACCAAACTCCCCAGAGCTGGGCCGACACATATGGCACGGCGCCCCACCTTGTCATAATCCCCGTCCTTGCGCCTCTTGAGGGTGTGCTCGACGTGGGCGCGGTATTCGTGCCCGCACTTGGCGCAGCGCGTGAGGCTGTGCTGCTGGCACGGGAAGAGCCGCAGGAGAGGGCTGGAGAACGGTACCCGCAGCCAGAGTTGTCCGTGCGAGTCTGCACGCAACACGGCCACGACGAGTCGAATAACATCGAGGGGAAAGAGAAATATATGCTGTCAGCGTTTAGGAGGCGGGGGTACTCAACGACAGATATACCCGTCTTGTGGACCGTCGTACGGCGGGTGGGGGTGGGCGCACGGAACGTGTTGCACCCGCATACGAACCTAGAGCTCGATAGTAGGCCTTTGCGAAAAGGGTGCAGAAGGTGAGAGAACCCGTACCGGTGGGACAATCCAGGAACTGAGAAAGTGTGGCCTAGTCTCTACATCACAGCAGCATGTCCAGCGAGAGTAGGTGAGACCAGCCAACATGATTTTACCGAAAAACACGAGGAGAAATGAGTCTCCACGAGGGATAAGTTGTGCAGTAGGGATCGGGGGGTTGAACGGTGCTCACGACTCAAGCGGCGAATCGGCAATACGGGCACCATGCCGGAAACGTTGTAAAACAAAATTGGAGAACCAGCCCGAAGAAAAACACGGAATTGTGCCGTGTGGGCGGGCGACAGAGTATGCGTGCCCGGTAGCTCAATGGATACACACAATTGCGCATTTCGAGGGTCAGTTGGGGTGTGAGTTGCTCCGACAGAAAGCGCCCTTTTCTTCTTTCCTCTTCTTTTCGCGCCGGGGGGACCCCTAGCCCTACCTCTAATCCAAGGCTCAAACCACCAAATGTCCGAGTGGAGATTTTGCCCACGGCTGCTTTGACTAAAAAAATGGGAAATCAACGGGAAAAATCTCCCCACACCCCCTTCGGCCCTTCGGGTCGGCTTGTGTACCCATTGATTGCTAGTAGTGTGCGTGTTCTGTTGATCTTCTGATGGCGCTGGCATTTTTGTGACCACGGACCGAGTTTTTGCTAGATTTTGGGACTAGCCACTGACACGAGTTTAACGTGCAGACAACGACAACAACACCACCCGGATTCCTGGTTTGGTTCGCAGAATTATTTTTTCTCGGCTCACACCGATCCCACAGCACCCAATCACGAACAGGTTCCGAGCACATCGATAGATGTGTGATTCGTACGGCCTTCAAGGTTTCGTGGCGATCCGGCTATCACGGAGGAAGAACGGATGTCTTAGGTGGATTCGTCCGGGAGGGGGAGAATACGAGAACCCCAACCGCCCAAAACAAAAAAAGGGAATTCTCGTTGACCAAAATAGTCGGGCGTGAATACCGGATGGCCGGAAAACCCGACTGGTACTACTCGGGTATCTGCTAAAACGGGTTCCGCGAGACACTGCTTGTACGGACACATATTGTATATCAAAGATTCCGCGACTTCCCCCTTCCGTCCCTTTCGACCGTTTAACACCCTGTTTCAATCGCTCCGTCTCGAAAGGAGTGCATGGTTCAAGGAGCACTAGGCTACAGCTGCTGGCGCCCGCGTGTAAGAAACGTCAAATGAGGGTCGAGGCTAAATACCTTATTTCGTCACCACCGTCAAGCATCGCCTACTGTAGGATTTTTTTTGTTGGCAAATCTGAGCCTAGCAGTAGTTTATCCAAGGCTTGCGTTTTCAATCGTGGGCGCTAACTGTGTTGAAAGGCACCAAGGCTAAGGTCCGACTCGCTCTCACCTTCCCACAAGGTTTGATCGGCGACGGACTCCAAATGCCTGGTGCACTCGCAGAACCGTGCGGCAGACGCAACGTCCCAAAGGAACCACCGGCAAGGCACGGCATCCATACGATGCCCCGGCACCGGCCATTGTGGTCTGGAGTGAGCGGGGCGACACAGGGCCACGATCATGAACATGGCGTAAGACGGCGTGCATGCATGCAGGACAGAGATGAAGCCATCCAACGCTTGATCCAGATCGACGGAAGGACCGTGATTCGGACTTGTCCCACCCGTCAGGCCAGAACCTGTCGTACACAACTCCGCCAGAAATTTCCCCAACCTCTCAACCGATCCTTGGGCTCGTGGGTGATCTGCGGCACCGAACATACGCATGTATGCATAAAAATATCTACATATACAGCAGATGCTTCACTGCCCTATATTCCTCCGCTCCGAACTCTGACCGTCCATCGCGACGATGCACCCCCCCGAGGCCTTCGCTTGTTCAAGTTGACAGATACCGTACTTGTGTCGTAGGTGGGTAAGACTAGGACCAAGTTGCAGGCACATCTCCAGCCACACAAAGCGTTACTCTACCACGCTGATCACGAGCACGCGTAACCGAGGGTTAGGTGATACGAAAGCGCCCCAACTTCCTCCCCTGCTGTTGCTGCTGAACAGCAGTTGGATGGGTCATTCATGGTCTGGTCTGCTGCTCTAACCTACATCGTAAAGCACCTTGGGTAGGTCCAGCGCTTGGACTTCTTGGCCGAGCCATTGCAACACAAGAGAAGAATGACGATCAAGCCGACCACAGGCTGAAAACAACGCAGCCGAACCATGTCACTCCGCTTCGTCGCTCAATGCTCACAACCTGCAAACTGCTGTCGTGGCTACACGGTGCACACTGCTGCCGTGTGCCGGCAGTCGGAAGAAGCGGCGCAATTACAGTCGTCCCCGCTTTAAAGACACTCTTCTTTAGGAAACTCCCCGCAATAAAGACACATTTTTTCCCCAGAACATGGTGCCCCGCAGATGTACAATAATAGAGGGGGGTAGCGTTTCCACTATGCGGCCCCCCCCAAATTTTTGCTGGGGCAGCAAATCTGTAAGGCATTGTAACATCGACAGCGGTCTGCTGCAGCCCGCACTACTGCGTGTGGGTATGGAGAGATCCCTCCCATCATCTGCTGGCGGGTCGTCAGCTGCCGGCTTGAGGCCATGTGGCGAACCCACGTGCCAGCAAAAGTCTCAACTTGTGTCAGCGGTTCACCAGTGCCCGTGCGGGCGATCCATGCACGCGTTTTGTGGTCGGGGCATCGGAGAGGAAGGCTACGGACAGCAGAGAGAGTGCTCGGATTGCCAGAAGAGCAAAGGTGGAGACCAGGCTGGCAGCAGCAGCAGTCCCATGGAAGTGGTCAAGAAGATGTCCTTGCCGGAGAGTGCCAAGAACTTGGACGCTAGGTCCATGCCGCGAGTGTTGTCGGACAACTTGTTCGTCGAGAGCACCTCCGGCCTCACTGAACAAGAAGTGCGGAGCGCAGTGAGCACGTGGCTTAGTGTAGAGGACGATGAAGAGGTCTTGAGGGAAGAGGTAGAACTCGAGATGGAAGAGGTAACGGAGAACATGTCAAGAGTACACGTCGAAGACGACGTGTCCAGTGAAGAGGAAGACCAGGACGGTAGGCAAGAGTCGTGCATGACATCTACGATTTCAGAGGCCGAGGTTCGGTCTCGTCTCGAGGATGTCCGCTCCTGTTTGTACGCGAACGGAGGAGACGGCGAGTACAGCGAAACGGTGTACCTTCTTTCGAAGACTGTGCATTCGTTCACTCATGAAACTCAAGTCAAGCGAAGAACGAAGGAGGGGGGTGAGGTGCAGGCGACTCTTCGGGATGTGTGGGCGACGTAGTTTTTGGTGTTTGAGGACAACACACTACACTTGGCAGCCCACATTCATTGTTTGGGATTGTTTTGCCTTTCTCGTGGAGTCAAATTTTGGCATTTTTTGTTTTGTGTTTTTGCCTCGTGTTGACCTTTGCGGAAGAGCGGTGTTCTCTTTTCGGTGGGTTTGCCCGATTTTTTGTATTATGTTGTGGTCTGCGCTACCGACCGGTTCCTAGTGTCCCTCAGATCCCTCTAAGGGGTCGACTGGCAGGTAACTTGCGTGTATCGTATCAGAGCGAGTTCCAACAAACTGATGTGTCTCAGGTGTGTTCGCGATATCACGGGCATGATGTTCACCGTGAGGACAACGCCTTGACAATAAGAAAAGCCTTCAACAACACCAGCGCACACTGCCGTACACATTACAGTAGGTCGTGCTGTACTTCTTCCCGCGTTTCGGTGGTGGAGGGAAATTCAAAAATGTGTACAGTATTGGAGTACAGCAGCAGCAGAGTTGCGGCCTTCAATTGACGTGTTGTCGCAGTTTTTAAGCAGTACAATTTCGTGGTCGCATTCCTGCTTTAAATGCGCGTATTTTGACACATGTTACACCTCCATTGACCCCGGGGACGGTGAGTTAGTGGCCCCGGAATCCTAAAGACACTTCCCCGCGTTAAAGACACTCCAAAAAAAAAAAACGCGGTGTGTCTTTAAAGCGGGGTCGACTGTATAATTATCCGTTCTCCTCTGCTCTCCCCCTTGCTTCCGACACGGGGGTTCCGCAGGTTGAGAGTGGTTGCGTTGGTTGTAACTTGCTCGGAGTCTGCCGGTGTGTTGTGACAGCAGTTCTCACACTTTGCTTGCACAGCACTGTCAGTGCAGAAGACAGCGAACAACCTTCAGGTGTGTGGCGGTTATCCAAATGCCGGTGGTAGATAGTGGCTGCAACTGTAAATCATTTGAACGGGATGCTCGAACGAAATGCAACTACAGCAGGTGTCAGGCCTCCCGCGGGTGAGGCAATTTGACATGCCCAAGAAGGGGCGTGTATTGGGTGGCATATGTTGCGCTCCTCTTTCGTACAACGCATCGCGTATGCGGGGTGCTTTGTGTTTGAATCTCTCGGGTGGGCAGCTTGCTGCGAAATTCATTATTTCTTTGAAGTCAACAACATGCGCGAATAGATGCTGGTTCGGCGAGTTTCTCTGCGATTTCAGATTGCCATGAAAGGATTGTCTTACCCCGTCCCTAAAACAGGGATCAGGGAAAGGGAACTCGGTTGGATATTGCCTGATTGGTCAACAACAGAATATCTTTCCTCGAAACAAAATCGCCCCGCCAGGTTCCTCCTTTGGGATGCTACGGCCTTGGCCGCCGCAAAGCTACAAGATTTGGACGACGTGCCGTGGCCGTACTCTGTTGTCCGATGGCTCCTGTGGGCGGGATGCAGGTTGACGGAGGGCGGGTGCTTTCCAAAACGCCACTACGTAAGACCAATCACAAAGTGACCTCCGGGCAGTGCGGCCACGCAGGCTGCTCCAAGCAGCCGAGCGTTGGCGCGGCGGGCAGCCGTAAGAAGGAGGTCTGCGCGAAGCATGGAACGGACGTTGCGGTTCGCGTGGAGTTGGAGCGGACTCGGGGCAGTCAGCCTATCAGGAAGAAACGATCTCGGCCTGCACCGTCGTTAGACGCCGCCGAGGAGGCGGCTATGGGCCAAGGGTCTGGAGAACAGCACCCTAATGGCCAGGCGGGCAAATTGATGCTGCGCCTTTGGAGGCAAGGAGCGATACTCAATCTCTCACCCGGAGGCAAGCCAAGAGAGAGGCCGCTGAAGATAGGGCGGCTCGTCGAATGCCTAGCCAAGGTGCACAAGCACGTTGTCTCAAGGTTTCTGTGAAGATGGAGAGTGCCGCGCATCTCGTAGAGGCTGTGCAGATGGCGAACGGAACGCCGAGGCCTGTGCCGCCGATGAGGAAGCCCACGTGGAACCCCGCCAGGAGGCAACAAGAGTTACGGGATGCCTCGTGATCGGGCGAAGGCGGTGTTCGTAGCCCCCTGTCGTTTTTTGCAAAAAAGTTATTTCGTTGAGCTGTTGAACTGCCCCAGTCTTGCTATTGCTGGTGCCGCCGCCGCCTGCTGCGGCCCCCTCCCTACTACACAGCGTGAAATGTCGCGCGCGTAAATACTTCAAATGAATATCGCAAAGGATCCTCAAAACCGCTCCTCCACAGCGAAAGGAAGACCCTCAAACGGGTCGATTGTGGGCCACTCGTGGAACCCAATCGAGTCTCGATTCTGCCTCGAAGGGCTTTTTCTTGTCGTATTCTCTCTTCCCCTCCCTGTTCTCGCTACATCGAAAGAGGGCAATCTCATGTTCTCCAATATGGCATAGTGGAAGACTGCGATAGAAGAAACTAAGAGTTTCGTCAAGAAACGGAAGAGAAAAAGGGGAAAAAAAACAAAAACAAGAGACGGAGGACAAAAAGCGCAAGGCGAAGATAGTTGTGAAGAAGGTCATCTGGCTCGAAACTCATGCTCTCCTCTTCGTCCTGTGGTGCTCAGATGCCCAACGAACCATGATGTTCTCTCTCTCCCTCTCTCTCAGGCGAAGAACTTGCAACGGCGTCTTCAGAGAGCAGAGAAAGAGGGCGTTATCTTGACGCGAGCCAATTGCGTGGACCCAAACTTCCGACGACGGGCGGCAGCGGGGAAAGGGAAGGGCGCTGTCGAAGCGTTCAGGAAGTATATGGCGAACCCGGAGAATAGGGAGAAGGTGAACCTCTGTGCTGAAGAGAGGAGGAAGGCCTTATCCAAAGCGGAGCTGGAAGCCCTGGAGAGCGGAAACGCCAGAGCTTAATCAGACTCAGGGAGAGGAAGAAAGTCGCGAGCAAGCAGGGTGCTCACCTGTACGCGAGTTGGATACCCGTGTACGAGAAAGAAATGCTGAGGTATCACCAGACAAGCGTTCCCAAGATCAAGGCGACGGTAAACGCGTTCAATCAGGAGGGGTTTCATGTCATCCGGAATGCCCTGGCTCAGTAAGACCTACGAGCCGTCCTTTCTGACGTTACATAATCCACCCGACGCGCAAACGAGAGCGCAGGCCGGGCCAACTTGTTTTCCCACATCGACAAGCAGGGGTGCCTCAGGACGAGCAGCGATCGGCAGATGACAATGATGGAAGATCGTGGTGCCGCAGCAGCTGTTTACCAGAAGCTCGTTTCGGAGAAACTCGGAAGCGGGGGGCAATTCCAGATGGAAGTGCGCGCCGTTACTCTCATGAACACAGTGGCTGAAAACGACCAGCCCGACCATACCGATTACGGCGTGGACAACGCTGGCGATTAGGGGATTGGCTTCCCTGTCAGCGGAATCGTTTGCTCGAGTGAGGGAGCACATTTTGGACGGTTGAGGGTTCGTTTGATGACAAGAAGTTCGAGAAGAGAGTGGAGATTGATCTCCACCTCGGAGATGTCATGCTTTTTCACGGGGTAAAAGTTCACCGGGGGGCTAGATGCCCCACTGGCAAATAGAGTCTGCACTTCAATGCCGCATGTAGACGGTTCAAGGTGCCTGAAAACACGACCTATCCGGTCGACGTACCACGAGTAAGTTGAAGACTTGCAGCGTTGTCGCCTGGCGGTTTGGTTGAAAAATGACCTTCACGTGAACATGCATTCAACTTGAAGATGGAAGCTTGGAGCTCTCCCGAGGCTTAGGGAGTGGGGGGATGAGAAAAACCTGAGGTTGCCCCGTTTTATTACTGTAAGCGACAGCAGTCGATGCGGAGAAAGCAGGACCCAAATGGTTTAGATTTGTACGAGTACAACCGACGACTGGCTACATCGCTGTCCAGTTTGAATTTGGAACTGCAATGAAGTGTCTCCATAGAGGCTGCTCTAAACGGGCGACCTTTGGCGCGCGGGGCAGCCGTAAGAGAGAGTTCTGCGCGCAACATGGACCAAGCGTTCTTGTTTGCATGGTGCTCGTTCCGCGGTGTTTCCCTGCTCTTACGCGCGTAAATGATCGTAGCGGGTACGAGAGGATACTCTAGTTCATGATTCTTCCCTGTAGTGTAGAGACCTGCGGCGGCGTGTGGCCGCCGTCATGAGCGGTGCCGTCTCTAGGCAGAGTCTGTGGGCGTCCTTGTGAAGTCCCACTTTTCAATCACTTGGTCAGGCAGACGTTCACTTCCAAAGCAACACACGCATCAAACTAGGGCCGACGCATGATATTCCGCATTTTCGACCCGTGGTCCTCTCGTAAATATCACCCATTATCACGTTCACCACTTGTTCGAGATCTCGGCGCGGTTTTTGGTCCCAATATTCATTGTCTCTGGCTCAGTCCGGCACCAGGCTTCCACTTATTCATTCGGGTTTGCAGTGACAAAAGATTCATAGCTGCCGATCCCTCCACCCGTCCCGTTGTCGATATCGCCAGTGGCACGCGGCTCGCCTTACAATATCTCAAGCATGGGGCACACGAAGGTCCCCAGACCTGCATCTCTTGTAACCATGGAACATTGGAAAGTTCGACTTTTATGCGGACTTCGAGCATCCCAAGCACATCAAAGACCATGCTGATCACCATCGTCATACAGGAAGCTTGGAACCTGTTACGGACGTTTCGCGCTCGAAACTCGCGGGTTTCACGGCGTCAATGGTGTTGACAACTATTTATTCTACAACTATCTGTTCTGTTCATGATAACCGTTTCTGTTGGCAAAGCTCAAAGTACATTCGTCCCAGACTTACAGACGACGGGTATGGCTTCGACAAACTGGTATCCCCCCCGACCCCTCCTCCTTTGACCAGCAAGCGTAGCACATAACACGATTATCGTTCGACCAAAGCAAACAGCAGATAGTTGTCACCGGAAACTGTTGATCCACCGAGAACAAATGGACGCACGTCCTGCTCGTTGGCAGGCTACCTCACCCCGAACGCCAGACGCGGACACAATGATCCCCACACCAACTCGATGTTGCAGACGGGCAAACATGAACCCGATTGTACATCACAACTCGGACGGACAGATCATGTTCGGCTCAATCGCGCTTGCCCCAAGTCAGATGCAAGCTCTAGGCTACAAAGAACAGAATAGTTGCCAAGCGTTCTCTCCTGTAATCTACATTCTAGTCTAGATGTTCCATCTCACACGATCTCCGTCGGCCGTTGCTCGTCCGACAAACGGGCACTCGGCCATTGTCTGTCGACCTGAGTTGTCCATTCACCGCCCCGTCAACCCCGTACCCCGCCTCTTCGAACTTGTTACTCTGGAGTCTGTATATTCTATTCGTCCACGAGGTTGGGGCCCCATCGTATGGAGACGCCACAGGTGCACCATGGAGATGTCACAGGCGCACCAGCAGGGACAAACCCGCTCCAACCACTTGCTGCTTCAGACCGCCCCGATCATGAAAACGTGGCCTGCATGCAGTTATTCACACCCAGGTTGGAATCACCGAGGCAAGCGAACAACACGGCGACGTTTCGTCCTTGCGTCCTCCGCCTATTTTGAGCATGAAACCAACCCAGATTCTAGGTAAGCCAGAGTGCCTCCTTGTCCTCGACGAGATTTCCTACGGAAACGGCGGGTGTTTCAGGTTTCACTTCGAAGAACAAGGGGAACAATCAGAGGAGGCACAGTCGACACCCCTCTGTGCGCGCGCATCAGTTCCGACAAGGGTCTCGGCCAGCTTTTCGCTGCAAAAGCGCCGTATCTTGCGGAGATTCAAGCGCCTCGATCTCCCCCTGGGGTGACAGCACCAAGCCTACCTCTTTCCCTTGACCGGGGTCCGGCGGTTTCACTTCCTCCTTCATTTGTCTCGCTCCCAGAGAGGGAGGCGACGGTGGCAACGTGATTGGAAGCCACTGACATTTCATCGCTGCGGCTGCTCCGTGGTTGGAGATCACGCTGTCAGTCTCCGCGCTGCCGATGGCTGGAGGAGGAGGAACAAGTAGGGTTTCGGTGGATACATTCGCCGGGTTCAAGACCTCCACAGCTTCGTCTGGGTTTCCATCGGAACGGGCATTCATGCCGTTGGTTGCATCGTCGCCGTCGTCATCTCCGCTACCCTGTAGACTGCCTTCTGCCGTTTCGTCTTGTCGTTGGTCATTTCTACCATCGCCACCATCACTGTTGCCTGCGTGAGCATGACAACCGTTGCCGTGGCCGCGGCCGTCTTGACCAACGCAAACCCCAGTATCGCCGCCTGTTTCGGCCACAGAGGTCCCCATCGCCTCAGTAGCACTGCTGTCCTTCATTGATGGTCCTTCTGCGTCTTCTTCCCGTGGACAGCTCTCTGCTTCCCCTTCTGAGTCTTGCATACAGTGGTGTTGCGCTTGGCCGTCGTCCTCCACGCGCTCAACCATGACGGGATTGTCTGCTGGGACTTCACTTTGTTTATGATGCTGCTGTTGGTGTGAAATCGAACTAGTGCCTGTATCCGGCGTCAGTGCGGCGGGTGCGATGGCGGAGACACCTTCAGAGGAATCACAACGGGTGGTCGAAGCTACATCCTCTTGCCTAGACTCCCCCCCGTCCACCTCTTGGTCCTTATCACTGCACGGATTTATGCGCCTCTTCTGTTTCCCGTCCTTCTTTGGCTTCAAGTCGTCCGAAGACAGCTCGGATGGACCGGGAATATCCTTGCCTTTATCGTTCGCCTTATCCCCTTCTGTGCCTGACTCCGCCTTTCCCCCCTTCCAAAGCGAGCTTGGCTGCTCTCCTTCCTCGACTGCTTCATCTTGTTCTTGGTTGCTGCCGTCATCAGAAAGGTCACGCAAATCATCCAGCTCCTCCTCCTCATCGTCGGCGTCTTCGTTTTCGCCACTGTGCTTAGGATCCACACCCTCGTTGTCGCCGTCGTTGCTGTTGCTGTCGTCATCGCTGCTGTCACCAATCTGCAGACCGTGAAAAATCACAAGTCGTAGGCACCCGTCAAGACGAAATGTCCAGGGGGTCATTCCAACTAAGAAAGCAGCACGATCCTGCGACGTATACAAAATGGGGTGCGAAGTACCGGCCAGTAGCCTCTAGCAACACCCAACTATCCGTACGCGAAACGAACAAGTTGCATTTCCTTGTTGGTGTTGAGCTCGGTAGCGAGTAAGAAGAACTGCGCTTCTAAGAAACCTGAATACAACCGGCGAATGGCAGTCCCAACGGAAATAAAAGAACTGGTCCGAATGTGGGGGTCATAGGGACAGCTCATCCGGCACATCAGCGCCACAAGGAGCAGGCAAGGGGAAGGCCGCGACTCGGAGAAAAGCCATTTTTGTGAGCGATCGATGTGTTCCGTCAATCTTCAGCGATACTGCTGGGATTGGGAGTAAGCGTGATCGACATACACCATCCCTACATGCAAATTGTAAGAGTCCTACAAGAGAGCAAACCATGGACGGTATTGGCTGTAATCGGTAAGGGTTTTATCGGCTCTACAAAGTACCGGCTTCGATTGGCAAAGGTCATAGGTTTGAGGACCAACAGACTGGAAACTAACGAGTGATGACCACGCCTCTAACAGAAGTCATGTTCGCGACCCCACGGAATAACCAATGTGACATTTGTTTCCACTCGTACCGTAGCTCTCGCAGGGTGTGCAAGCCCGTCGGGCATCATCAAGAGCTCTTGCCGAGAAAAGCTGAGCTGTTCCAGAGCCTGCAACGACATGCCGGACACAGCGTATCAGCTTCAAGATCTTGCTCGAGTAACACACTGCTTGTTACATTTGTGCAATACCCCCGGGATTCTCATATCCCATGCAGACCTGTAGAGCCCCACCTGCGCCTGCGCGTGTTCAGCCTGTCTCAGCAACTCGCCGAAGCCCACCAACCGCTCGGGAACGGGAGGGGGTGCGACACCGCCGTCCTCTCCTCCCTTGCTGCCCTGCGCTTGGAGGAAGAGGGTTAAGCAAGCAACGAATCGCACCCAAGCATTCATTGTGAAGCGATCATCGCGATGTGCCCGTGCAACAGTACCTCAACTTGCATGCGTCGTAGTTTGCCACATCCACCACCTCCAGCCGCTTGTACTATCGAATCGACTACACAACCAGTAACGCGCAAAGTCGCTTCTCGTTCGTCTCTTGGCTAGATCCGTGTAATCCGTCATTACCAACATAATGCGATTGTTGAAAGTAAGAGGCTGGTGGTGCAACACAGGGAGACCATGGCAGCACAAATAGGCAGCCATCTGCTCGAAAGTCCGCACCAAAAGTTGCAAGGCAAGCCATGGCTCGCAGAGTCCGTGGTTGTTTAGCGAGGCTAGCGGCACATAACTTCCGCTGCTGTCCCCAACGTACTGCCGTGTCGCGTTCCTTTTCACATACCGCCCGCTTGTCATGCCTCGACTTCCATGGTACTGCCGTGTCGTGTTCCTTTTCACATTCCACTCACTTGTCATGCCTCGATAACCATGGCCGGCAGGCCAACTACTCCTCTGTACGCACACCGATGTGTTTGCGAGCCGGGCGTGCACGATCCCCTGTAGTTGCAACAATATCCACTGATTTATTGGTCAGTTTCTTCCCACTCCATTACATAAAAACAGACGCACACAAAAAAACGTCGATCCCGACGCCCTTGCACCTGGAGCTGCTCCGTGTCGAAGAGTAAGCCCGTCTCCTGGCTTGAATCCTTGGAGTCCCCTCGTTGTCCTTGCTGCTCCTCTTCCGTCTCGTCCTCTTCTGTTTCTTCCTCGTCCTCGACGTCGTCCTCTTCTCCATCGTCTACCTCCTCAAGACCCTCTGCCAGCGTCCCGCGCCTCCCCCCTGTATGCCTCTCTGCAGCAGCCCCTCTCGTCCCCCCTGCGCTTCTGGAAGCTGCGTTCTCATACCGATCCCGGCCACTGGCGGCGGGGAGAGTACTCTCCGCGCGGTCGGCCCTACCGCTAGCGAGTATGGTATCGCCAATCGAAGTGCCCCGCCTGAACTTGCCGCTGTTGTTGCTCTTCAGCACGCTAGTGTTGCTGCCGTTGGGACCGCTCGTCGTTGATATGGTATCCGCCTCACCCGCTGTTATCAGTCTTTCAAGTGGATGGTAGGGAAAAGGGCGGGAGTGGAGATGTTCTAAACGGTGCGAATACCACGAAGTGGCAATATATGTTGGGTACGCTCACACAACTCCCGACAGCCAACTAAACGAACAGGCTACATAAGCATGGTGAGGGAGAGCTGATTCGCAGGAGATGGAGTCGACGACACACAAGGGGGATCTGCGTCACCATACAACCAATCGCCTAGAAACCAGCAGCACTTCTCGGATATATCAAGCAGTGTCTAGCATCGCCCTGCCCATGCACTCCGCACCAGAATCTGCCAGAGACCCGTGCCGACGGATCCCTTCTCGGCAATTACTCTTTCGACTTCCATCAAATTCATTGTCACGATCGTTGCTCCTTCTCTACGACCCTCCCCCGATATTATACACAAGTTTGGCTGTTCTGTTTGGGCTGAAGAGGTATCGTCAATGATGCAAATCAGTGGCGGGCAAGCAGTAATGGAGTACGGTCTTCCCGTGAGCGAATAGAGAAAGTCTTGCTATACATACCCACAGCTGTGCATCGGCAGGCTCGCTTCCCTCGTTGGCGGCAACACAACCAACAGGCCCTCCATCCCCCCCATTCCAATGACACCTTTCCTGTCCAATGATTCACAGGCCCTCTCCCCCAAGGGCTAGAACATCACAAAAAAAATGACGCGCGTACCGTCCTCCCATCACAGCAACATATTACCAACAACGCGCCCACCCCCCCATCGGAAAAAAACGACGTGCTGCGCATTCCGGCGCACGTTTATGACTACAATCTTTACCTGTGTAGGTGGTTGCGACCGTCCCGACTGCTGCCTGGCGCAGGCTCTCCGTCGAGACGGCGCCGGTGGATAAACACAGTGGCGGGTCCTGGCACAACGGGAGGGAGGGAAGGGTACACAAGGAGATAAGAGGGGCAAAAGGAAAGGCGAACGAAAGTGGGGGGGGTGTACTCATAGTCGTGCATGCCGTAGTCGTTAGACCATTGACCTCGCATCCCTACAAAGCCGGGACGGACCACGCCGGGTTCTCACCGGACCAGGCTCTCACATCACCAAGCGCGAAGCGCCGTAAGATATTCGGCGAGTCGCATGAAGGGTGCGCTGAATCCTGCTAAGGGTGTTCGGCATCTTGTGCTTACTTCCTTGCGTACG